CCAGCTTCATCCTCCACACAGCAAACACGTTGTCCATTCCTGCCCTCCTGACAGCAGCTCCGCTCCTTACATCTCAGAGCTCCTGTGAAGGTACCAAACTGTCCGGCCAGCCAAGCCCCTTGCCCAGGCACTGTGGTCAGGGGAATGGCAGCATTGTCCTTGGATTCCCAGGTCTTCCTGCAGGCTCGCTTGGTTCCCTTCTAAGTGATTTGCCTTCAGGATAGGAAATAAGCTATCACCCATGGAATAAAATAAAACCTGCATGATATTCATATAAAGGACAGTGTTATCCTCTATTTTAATGTTTCAATATTTGCTATTAAATTTTTTTTTGGAAAGCTTCCCTCCATGGTCAATTTTCTAGATTAATTATGGGGGCCCAATAGTTTAACTTTTAATTTATATACCCTGTTTGTTACCACCCGTAAGCAGCAGCGTGCCCAATTCTCCTGGAAGATTTAATGCATTGAAGTCAGTTCTCCTGTAATTGAATTTATCAATTTAAAACCACAGCCATCAAAACTTAGTGTTTTGGTTTATACTTGTTTTTGTCCTATTTTAACAGGGGGAAATTTAAAATGGACCGGGCATTGTTTCATCCTCTTGTCCACAGGGTTACTGGGGGGTCTGGACTGACTCCCTGACTTCTAACAACAAGTTTCATCTGGGAAATGGACGGGGATTTTTAAGAAAGTTTGGCAATAAAATAATGAGGGTAAATTTTAGCAAAATACATTCTAATCTATTTTAAAGCTACAATGCTTAAAACAATATTAACTGAAGGAAAAACAGATACACATAGCAAAAAAAACAGCAGAGAAAGACCAAAAACAAAAGAAAAAGATAAAATCTTTGGTCTGTAACAAATGGGCGATCTCAAATCAGGGCGGAAAGACTGGGCTTTATAATAATGTGCTGGAACAACCGGCTAATTATTTGTTACACAGTACACATTCTCTAACCCTATTGCACAGAATGTATCCGAAAAATTCAAGAGCTTGAAACTAAAAGGAGAAGAAAAGGAATCATAAGGTATCCTCCCCAGAAATGTAAAAATCACCGTTTATATAAATGGTGTAAGGCAAGGCTGCAAGGTGGGGTGGAAAAAGTCTTTCTCAGCATGATGTCAAAGCCGGAGGCCAGAAAGGAGAATAAAGCACTCCATTATATAAAAAGGAAAATCTTTCTCCATTAAAATGCCACCTATGACGTCAGCCTATCTGCGACAAAGCCCCCTGCACTTGTAAAGTGGGCGTAACACAAATATCCTCACCATTTGAAGAGTGCATAAATCAGCGAGGGCAAAGGAACACCCTAATGGGAGAACAGGCAAATACACAAGAGTAGAATTCACAAAAATGACACCATGAGAGAAGTCCACCCTCGTGCATAATTAAATAAGTAGATAAAAAGAAATCGAAGTAGCATCGAGATATTATTTTCATATATTGCCTAGCAATATAAACGTAAACTTAGAAGATAATTCCCAAGATTAGAATTTTGTTGGGAAATATACTCTGATACTCTCACTCCTGACAAGATTGTTGAGTTGGTAATCACCCCTTTCTAAAAAGTCTTGGAGCCCTGGTGGCAGAGAGTGCTACATGTTGGGCTGCTAATGCCAAGGTCAAGAGTTTGAAACCACCAGCAGCTCCTCGGGAGAAAGATGAGGCTGGAGACCCTAAAACGAGCTGCTATGTGTTGGAATCAACTTGATGGCTGTGGGTTTCTAGAGGGTCATTTAGGAAGATGCTTCAAAAACCTGACCTAGCAATTTCACTTCCAACAATTGCATCTAAGTCATCCTCCAAAGACTTCCTTATGAAGAGGGTCCCTAGAAATATTATGTAATATGTTTTTCTAATTTTATGTGAAGAAAAATATCTAAGTTTTCCAAAACTGGGATTGGTTGAACAAACATGAAATAATATGCAGCCTTGAAAAACAATATTTTAGAATTACTTTATAACACAGGTAATGGACATCCTGAGTGAAAGAAAATAGCTTTCAGAAGACCGTGTTGTTGTGATTGTTTGTTAGTTGAGTGTTTTCAACTCATGATGGCCCCGTGAATAGAACTTCTGCGAATGGCTTTCAAATCTGTGGAAGGAGCCTTGTCTTCTAGGACACCTCTCAAACCAGACGCACTGCCACCAAGTCAATTCCAACTCGAAGCGACAAGGTAGGACCGCCCCCTGAGGATTCTAAAGACTAACTCTTTACGGGAGTAGAACGTTTCAGCTTTCTCCCAAGGATCAGCTGGTGGTTTCAAACTGCTGACTTCGAGGTTAGACGCCAAATTGCCACCATGGCTCCATTTGGGTGGGTCCAAACCACCAACTCTGTGGCCAGTAATCAAGCGCTTAACCACCGGAGCCGCCTAAGGACACTGTTTGTGAGGATGGCCCAAGTTCGCTAGGGACAGTCTCCTGGGTTGTGGAACTCTGAGTCACGTTCACATACCCCTTTATTCTACTTGCCTGTAAAGGTTCTGTCATGAACATACATGCATTCCTGAGGGAATATTAAGTCATAGTGGTCATACTCATAGTGTGGTGCATGACGTGAAACCAGCAGGGGAGTATTCTCAGGGGACGTGTGAGTGCTCACCAAATTCCGACTGTTCCCCAAGCTCCTTCCCATATTTCAGCATGCAGTCGCCCAGCAAGCCTTCTGTCTGTGGGTAGCCGGTCGTTTTCACCTGCCCTCGGATCTTCGACACAGTGTTGAGCATCCCCAGCTTAGCTCTGTATGCTTAAAGACAACATCATTTGTCATCCCTTCAAGTTACAAGGAGGCGGGGCGGCACTGAACAAATGCAACTGCCAAAAGCCACGACACCCAAGACCAAATCGAAGGCACCAAAAGGCCATGTGCATCCGAATTCACTTAGTCTTGATTTTCAAGGTTGGTGCTAAGGGCACCGGTGCACAGCCATCATGGAAAACAGAAAATACAGTGGACACTGTCGACTCCAAAGCACACTAGCAGGTGCTGTTAGCAAGCATCACCCCAGAGCGAGACCCCGGGGAATGCTTATAAATACTAACGCCTTCATAAGCCAGACATAGACATGTGACTAGATGGTTTTCCCAGGGACCAATGATCATCTAAGCATAACATTGCTGGAGGATCCCTGGTACAGGAGCCTAGGTAGTGGTCATACATTGGGCTGCTGAACTCGGGGTCAGCAGTTCAAAACCACCAGCTGCTCCACGGGAGAAAGATGAGGCTTTCTACTCCTATTGAGAGTTACAGACTCGGAAGCCCTCAGGGGCAGTTCTACCCAATGCTACAGAGTCACTAGGAGTCGACGCCACGGCAGTGAGGTTTGTTTGAGTTTTGGCTGTTTCTTGAGGTTCCTGGTGGCCTCGTGGTTAAAGCACAGAGTTGCTACTGAAAAGTCAGTGGTTGAAGCCCACCCGCCACTACTGGGAGAAAGATGTGTCTGTCGGTCTGTTTCCATGAAGATCTCAGCCTTGGAATGCTGATGGGCTCCAATGTTCTACTCTGTCCTGGAGGGTCACTCGAAGTCGAAATTGGCCTGAAGGTCAGAGTTTGGCAGACCCTCAATTTGACGTTCATTGCAGCATTATTCACAATAGCAAAAGGTGGAAACAACCCAACTTTCCATAGGTAAATGGGTGTGGAAGCAAAATGCTGCCTACCTCTAAATTGGAGTAGCACTCACTCGGAAAGAGAGAGGAAGGCCTGCTGCATGCTGCCACACAGACCAACCTGGAGCATGTCACGCGGGGCGGAATGAGTCCGAAACAAAGGTCAAATATCGGATGACCCACTTTTGTGAAATGTCTCTAGTAGGCAAATCAGTGAAAACACAGACATGTTGGTGGCCACCAGCGGCTCCAGGGAGGGAGAGAGGGAGTCATGTGTAATGGAGAGAGGGAGTCATGTGTAATGGGAACAGAGTTTCTTTGGGGGGCAATGAAAAAGTTTTGGAAATTGCTAATGGCAATGATTGTAATGACTGTCCTTACAGGCTACAGTGTAATATGTTACAATGGACACCCAACTTCAACCATCACAGCCAGTGTTACTCGCATTTGGTATTTCTACGTGTGGCACAGCCTGGTGTTCGTGGTTCATGGAAAAGGTTCGTGGTTCATGGGCAAGATAGTCAGGGAGTAGAATTTTTTTTTTTTTAGTACTGTCAGAAATGTCGGAGACAGAGAGGGTTGATAGGTGAGGTGTGAGTATTTTAACCACAATAAAATAATAATGTTTGAAAGTCATGGTGACCAGTGTGCTTCTCATCATCAACTGGCCATTCACACGGATCCTTTCTGCCCCTTGTGACTGAGGGCTGCTGCTCCTGTGCAGGCAGCAGCTCCACGCGGAGGACCTGGGACTGCCCGTGGAGGTCACCAGCCTTGTTCCTGCCAGCCCCTCCAGGGCAGCTCGCTGGCCCCCAGTCCCCAGGGAGTGAGAGCCGCTGCTGGAGAGCTTCTCTTCTG